GTTCATACAGCATTTGATCAAACTGAGCATTTATAGGAACTGAACAAAGAATGTTGGAACATGATTGTTAGTTTAAATCCAAAATTGGTTAAAGTCCTACAAGGTAACAAATCAATAACCTTAGAGCTATAGTTTCTACTAGAAATAATCTGCATCTCTCTTAGACAAAAATAAAACAGGTAGAGTTTGAGCCCTAATCAATAATAAATAGTATGTCCAAAAAAATGGCATAATTCCTTGTAGAATTTCTCAGTTGGACCGGTTAAAATCATGTTCCAGTAAATGCTGAAAGGGTAGGCAACCATCTTTTGTCTTATTTTCAAGTGTTTGACAATTTTTCTTGACATCTGTCTTTGAAAGGAATATATACTCATTGCAAAATCTTTGGACTACATACATTAAAAGTATGAAAGTAAAAATTCAAAGTCATACCACCATCCAGGACGTAACCACTGGCACTTTATATTTACTCTTCTAGAATTCTTTTCTATGTACAGAGATTGTAGTTAAAGAAGGTTTGTCTTGCTTTTTAAAGAATAGAATCATGCTTTAAAAAAAAAATGTAATCTGTTTTCTTTTCTCTTAATATACTACGGATATTATCACCAGGTCAAGAAATAGAGGTCTCTGGTGCTGGATTAATAGGGCAGATTAAATATATCCTGATAATTTTGTTCCCTCTTGAAACGCTACCAAAACTGCAGAAGAAGGGTGAGGGCCCACAATGATAGGGAAAACAGTAGGAGACAAAAGCAACAAAATTTTGGAAACCTGAAAATAGATGAATTAATTTAGCATACCAGAGACAACTTTGCATCCTAAACCAATAGTAGAGAAAGCTGAGGAAAGAATGGATTTACACCATAACCTTCAAACTTGGCAATACTGTATACTTCTGTAACTGGGTTAAGACGATGGCTAAAATAAGGAAGACTGGGTTAAAAGTTCTTGAGAAGTAGGTACATCATGAGATCTCCTTCCCTATTCTATGCTTTCAGGCAACTGCCCCTCCTCATCCTCACCAGATTTGAGATATATTTCCTAGAGCCAGATTTCTCAACCATGGCATTACTGACATTTGGACAAGATCATTCATTACAGTAGGGGATTGTTTCGTGCACTGTAGGATGTTTAACTGCATCCTTGCCCTCTATCCAGTACATGTCAGTAGCACCTAGCCCCCCCATCCCTCCAGTCATAACAATAATAAATGTCTCCATGTCCTCTGATAGAGGAAGGGAGTAAAATCTCTCTACTATTTGCTCTACAGATAATATAACAGAAGGTTCCAGGCTGGGAGACATCATGTAAAACTGAGAACTTGGATACAAAAGTGAAAATGGGAATTAAATGACTAAATGCTTAATGCAGAGATACTCAGCACTTTTCCAACACAGCATCCAGAATTTGGCTGCCAGATCTTTCCCTCCAGGCAGGAGGCTGGAATCCTTTTTTCTGGGGACTCTGACTAGTCCAAGATGAAACACTGAAAAATACTGACATTTGTGGATTTTCCAACAAATAACTCATTTAGCCCATTGAAGCTGAAAGAAGAGAAGGCCCATATTATGCACTCAGACCTTCTATTCAGCTTTTGTTGTTGTTTTTGTTTAGTCGCTAAGTCATGTCCAACTCTTTTACGACACCATTATTTGTAGCCCTTCAGGCTCCTCTATCCATGGGATTTCCCAGGCAAAAACACTGGAGTGAGTTGTCATTTCCTTTCCCAGGGGACCTTCCCGACCCAGCGATCAAACCTGCATCTCTTGCATAGCAGGTGGATTCTTTACTGCTGAGCCTCTAGGGAAGTTTAATCAGTTTTTAGCTCTCCACTATCAATCATGAGCAGACAGTCAAGGACATGAGGCCACACTTGGGAGAAAAGCCTCTAAAGGAGAAGATAAAGACCAAAACAAATTAACAGAAAAATCTTAGAGGAAGTAAAATGCTCAAAGGGAAGAAAACTAAAATATCTCTTAAAAATTCCTCAGAAATTGCTAAGTTACTAACAATTTTGTCCTCTTCTGTTGCACACATTAAAGTATCACCTGAACTTTCAAGACTCCTTGAATTCTAACTGGTCTAAAAATTCAGCTCCTTAGTTGTTCAGTCTGGGTAGTGAGTAGGTTAAGAGCGTGATGCTAGAACCTCCTGATTTCTCTATCATTAATAATTCCACAATAAGGAGGAGGCAGTGGTGGGAAAGCTATTGTCAATCATGACAAAATTGATCTAGAAAATTTACAATAAAATTCTTCTTTGTTCAACAGCCTTTAGAACTAGGGAAACCAGATGTCTTTCTGGTCAGCATTCTAGTTCTAGAAGTAAGCTGGGGCAAGGTATTCAGGCCAGCAGTGACCATGAACCCTCTGCAGCTTGGGCAGTCACAGCTCACCGGGCCCTTGCTTCCACTGCACACGGACACATAGACACATGGGTAACACATGGCTCACTGGGAACTGCCCTGTCTCTAAAGAAAGCACAGATGTTGACTGGGTTTTTAAAATGCTCCACTAATAAGAGAGGGAAATAGGAGAATGAGAAAAGGAAAGACTCTAAAGAGAACAAGAACTGAGGCAGAGGATTTGTGTTTGTTTTGTTTTTGTAAGGAAAAACCGACAGAGTTCCTTCTACAAAATGTGCAGTGGACATTGTCTTACAGACCAGAAACTAAGGAGGATTACACAAATAACATTTTATAAAATGCATCACACTACACTGAAGATCTAGACTGAGAAAAAGCAAGGAGAATAGATTATTTCACAATCTCAATGTAAAGGAAAAGCATTGAGCTTTACCATCTATGCAGGTGAAATGAATATTCTGATTCAGAAGATGTACTGACCATAATATGAACACTGCCCACAGCCTCAGAAACCATAAGGCTGTAATCCTGTCTAATATATTTAAGTTCCATTGTTTCTGATGAGCCATAATACACTTCAGTGTCTGGCTTATCATTCTAGGCTACATTTCCCAAAAATCCATGAATTAACCTTGAATGGACATCTTACACACCTCCTGGAAGGTCCCTACAACCAGCTCACCTCCAAGGTTAGTGAGTAGTACTATGACCTCATCCTACCCGGCACTAAAATGGGAATAACATAATCTCTGCTCAATAGGACTGAGATCAAGACCTTGTATCTGAGAGTTAAGAATGTGGCCAGTCACCTCAACCTCGTTTCCAGCTCCCATAAGTTCCAAAAACATCACCTCAGTCACTGAACACTTGGGATTCTGATCTACAGGAAATGCTGGGCTCCTTTTCAGTTCCTCCAGTATCAAAAAAACCTAGTACTCTGAGCTCTACCTCTCTAGGATTTTCCCATCATCTCATTGTCTTTTCTCTTCTCTACAATTCATTAGGGCAGGCTAACTCCTGCTCCCAATGATATCATATCCTCAGAGACCCATAGAGTGTGGCAGGAATGTCTGAAGGCATTTATGTGAGAATCAGCTGCAATGTTAAACCTTGGTCCTGAGCATGTTCTGGAAACAGGGCATACTTAGACAATGACATCTATCTTTCCAAACATAAAAAGTATACATTTCAAATTAAAGGGGGTTTCTGCATAATTCTCTCAATTTTATGTAAAAAACAAGAGCTAAGCCTCATGGCATGTGTTCCAGAATGTTCAAACATTTAAAGTAAATTAAATCCAGTTGGAAAAAAATTCCTTTGGGGAGAGTAATCTAGTTGATTCTGCAGCAAGTCTCAGTTCAACTATAAATCCAAATGCTAGACCTTGAGGAAGTGAAGTAATCTAAGAAGTGGAGTTGAATTACTTCTACAGAGCATCTGTGCAAACCCTCAAGATGTTGGAACCCTTAGCAGAAATTCTCAGTGTGAGATTCATCTAGTCTCTGTGGCTTCTGCTCTTCTTTCCTCTGCTGCCTACAAACATCTCTCTCACCTACTAGTCCCTTTCCAGAACCAATTATTCCATACACAAACCATCAGAGATGTCCAGATCCCTTCTTATAGCAAGTTGATTCTGTTTGTAGGTTAATATATATATATATGTGTATATATATATATATATATATATATATATATATTCATGTAATACATATATTACAGTTTTGTAACATGTGATGTTATTAAACTTATGCTTCTCAAACTGATGTTGCCTTAGACTGGATTTCAAATTTAAAGCCAAATGCTGTTATAGCAGAATTTCATAAGTTGCTCATACCGGTGTGACAAGTATTACTAGGAAAATTTTGATGAAGTTTCCCATCCCAAACAGGTAACTCTAAAATAAAAATAACAGCAGGATCACAAATTCTATTAGTACCACTTGAAAGAGACCTTTTACTGTTCTGGAAACAGACTTAAGTCACTGACCTGAGTTATAGGCTCATCACATGATAAGAGAATATGCAAGGGTTCTGACTATATTTGTTATGGACTGAGTATTTATGCTATTCCAAAATTCACATGTTGAAACTCTCATCCCTGGTGCAACAGTATTAGGAGGTGAGGCTCTGGGGAGGTAACTAGGTTTAGATTGAGGTCATGAGGGTAGCACCCCCATGATGGAATTAATGTCCTTAAAGAATAGGAAGAAACTAGAGCTCCCTTCGGGCTTCCCTGGTGGTTCAGATGGTAAAGAATCTGCCTGTAATGCAGGAGACCCAGGTTTAATCCCTGGGTTGGGAAAATCCCCTGGAAAAGGAAATGCCAATCCACCCCAGTATTCTACCATGTACAGTTACAGCAAGAAGGTAGCCATCTACAAATCAGAAGAGGACTCTTACCAGACACTGAGCCTGTGGGCAATTTGATCTCAGACTTCTCAGCTTTTAGAACTCTGAGAGATAAATGTATGCTAGTTAAACCAACTAGTCTGTGGTATTTTGTTATAATAGCCCAAACTGACCAATATACTACTCTTCCTTGGGATGCAGTTGGTCGAAATAATCAGTAGTTACTTTGGCTCTATGTACAGATTACTGACTCAGCAATGGAGATGTTATCAGCAAAATGCCATTACCTGCACGTTTTGGATGTTTCTGGTTGTATCCTGCTTACTGACCAAATGCTTGAGAACCTTGAAATGGGCTGCCAACAACTCCGGATCCTAAAGATGCAGTACTGCAGACTTATTTCCAAGTAAGTATATACCTGAGTATGAAAAGTTTTGAGAACTACTTCCTGAGAAGACAGATTATGTCACCACAGCATTCATAATACAATACATAGTGGCTTTCAGAGTTAGGAAGTTTTTATTTTTCACTTAACTGAAGCCAATATATTGAGCTGACCTCTAAAATGGTCTTTGTGGTTTTATATTCCTTTTCCAGTAGCCCTTCTACTGTTAGTGCTTCCCTTTCCTTGACTGTGCAGATGCCCAAAGCCCTAACTCTGCTCCTCAAGGAATAATCACTAGCTCTTCCTCTCTTTCCTTCTCAAAATAATGCCACTCAGTTAATCTCCCACGTGGGTTAAGAAAATCATCAGACATAGCAGTAGTGGTGTTAGTCACTGAGTTGTGTCTGACTCTTTGTGACCCCACAGACTGTAGCCCACCAGGCTCCTCCGCCCATGAGAATTCTCCAGGCAAGAATACTGGAGTGGGTTGCCATTCCCTTCTCCAGAGGATCTTCCCGACCCAGGGCTTGAACCCGGGTCTCCTGCATTGCAGGCAGATTCTTTACTGTTTGAGCTAGCTCACAATTAGGTACAAATTACTAACAGTTATCCTAAGAGTCCCATCTCCCCCAAAGCTATTTGTCTTATATTTGTTATTTTACTAAGATCTAGAGCTCAGAGTAAGGTATTCTGATAACTGCTACAGGCCAAATGCCTATTTCCTCAATTTACAAAATGTTTCCAATGAAATAACAGCTGGGTAAATAAGAAATCTATAAAGGTAGAAGGTATCAGGTGTTACCCTATAATTTTTAGATAGAAAGCATTTTTTTGTTTTGTTGTTAATTTTTTTTTTTTCTGTTGACTGGAAATAAAAACGTGGAAGTATTTTAACTGACCTGATGAAGTAACCTGTGGAGTGTTCATATGAGAATTCTTGACCAGTCCCTGAAGGTCAGGTTCTTTTCTGAAAGTTGGAAAAATGAACACTAAGAATTAATATTATCAAGGTACAAAGTACATAATGTGTTCTAAGCATGTAGATTTCACAGAAGAACTTTCTTAATAAAACAGCCCTGGAAAGAGCTGAACCATGAGATCTGTTCACTTGATAACTGAGGAAGAAAATGATTTCTGATCTAAGGATATGTGTGCTAAAATGAAATGAAAAAACAAAAACAAAGCTATTACTTATAGAATAAGCACTCCCACTGGGCCTAGACTTGCCAAGGGAGAAGAGAGCCAACTGAAAATGGATCAGAAAAAAGAGGGCAGGTTCTTGAAAATTGTTGAAGAATAGAGATTCAACCTTTCTTGATAGGTCTGTTTGAATATTATTAACTCAGAGTATTACACCATGAAATAAGGTCCTAGGAGTTTCTGTTGACCTTGTGATATCATAAAACAGCCAAGATGTCACCTTCGGGTAAGATGATAGACAAAGGATAATGTATTACACAAAGGAGTTTAGTTTTTAGTCTTTTGATTATATTTTGCCAATCATTATTTTGGAGAGGTAATAAACTTCTGAAATGCAGGATGTTAACTAAATGAATGGAAGACTTAGCTAGGGTCCCTGTGAACCTAAACATGTTTACCCATTCCTTGTGCAAGGTCCATAGATTGAAAAAAAAAATGCAAAGAAAATAAACAAGTAAGATTTTACTACTAGCTGGGGTTGGCACCCCAAACCAATGCAAAACTCTAGTTAACTAGCTGAATCTATGGAAAATTCTTTTACCCAATCCAGGACAGTCCCTATCAGCCAGGAGCAGACAGAGATTGGCCCTCATGCTTAAAGGGGAGCCGGCTTGTCTGCCCATCTTATTGTCTAAAGAGGCCAAACCATTTTAGTTTCCCTTATAGCTCCACTCCTGCTAAGATCCAATAAGAAAGAGGCCTAGAATTTTCTGATTCTATCCTTGTCTAGCAGTGGAGAGGGCTGTCCCACAGCATGGTGGCCAGGTTAGTAAGGCTCCAGGAGCATCTGTCTTGACATCCAGCTTCCAGGAGAGGATGCTACTTGTCAGTCAAGGAGGTCCCAAGATACTTGGGTTTCAAAATTTTGATTACAGAAGTGGTAAGGTCTGGCCTCATTTCGCTGTTTGGGCTCTGATCTAAAGACTAGAGCATCTTCTTCTTCACTTAGATCCATGGGATCCTTTGGTGGAGCTGGAAATGCTGCAGAGTATGTGAACCCTTGAAGACACAAGCTTATGATGGTATCCAATCCCTTACCTATGTCCAGTCTAAAAAAAAGCAGTTTGTTTGCTCTTGCTCCCTCAACAGTGAGAGCTTTGTTTCGTCTGGGTGAAATGAAACATCTGGAAATTAGGATGGAGGAGATTTTTTTGGGAGGAGGTTTTGTGACTTTGAATCACAAAGCAAAATATTCCCACACATCTGACTCCATTTGAACATACAAATGTATGAAATCATATAAAATCTAGTTATAGCCCTCAGAAGAAATTGTCCTATATACAAATTCCTCCATACTCAATGGAATTTGAAAATATTTCACCAGCTTTACAAATCAAAGAGGTCTATTCAGCCCACCCTTTCTGAACCAGGGAAGTAGTAAACTTTTGGTCAATGAGCAAATTATCTATAGCTCTTTTGCAGGAGAGCTTCCAGCATGAGATATTCTGTCACTCTACAACTTCAGAGCCTGAAGGGATCCCAGGAAATGATTTCAGACATCTACATAATAAGTGAATGGAAGTCGCTCAGTCATGTCTGACTCTTTGCAACCTCGTGGACTGTAGCCCACAAGGAGTGGGTTGCCATTCCATTCCTGGAAGATTTCCTGATCCAGGGATCGAACCCAGGTCTCCTGAATTACAGGCAGATTCATTACTGTCTGCGCCACCAGGGAAGCCCATAAGAGATAAAATTCTCCTTTAATTCAAGGAGAAATTCTTAACTGAAATTATAAATATGACAAGAAAATCTAGCTGTCTACATTTGAAGCAGTTGTATTCAACAAGTCTTTCAACTTATAGACCTCTGTGAGGAAAGCAAGATAGGCAAAGGAAAAAGTGAAAAGCATAATGGAAAGCCAGAGAAAGACCCAAACGATGGTCTCCACAATCCAGGAGGGTCTGAGCCACAAAGAGGCAGAAGAGCCATTAAGTCTATAACTGGCAAAGAGCAAGAGAACCCTTCTGACATTACTGGGGTCTGGAATCCAAAATTTTAAACATTAGAGAGATTAGCAGGGAAAATCTAGATGGTTGTCAGAGTTTTGAACAGCAGTACAGAAATTCTTTGAAGACCTTATTTAGCAGTTGTTTGGCAGTGTAAATTATTACCTAAACTCTGTAAGAGATCTGCATTGTTAGAAAATCTTAATAAATTCAGAGTTCTCTCCAGCTCATGGGAATGTCTTTGTGGAAAGACCCTTGTAATCTGGACCTAGTGAATTTTATTACTAATATGAACAAATAATATTACTTAACTATTATTATTTGTCATGTACTGTATTAAATCCTATTATCTAATACTCACAAATACTCTATTATCATAAAAATGAATAAGGAAACTATCTTAAACAGGTTAAATAACATGCCTAAAGTCATACAAATAAAAGAGCCATACTTTGTACCTAGGTCTGATCATTGCTACGCTGCTCTTTTGTCTTTAGATTAGTGATTTTCAAGCTTTTCTAAAGGCCTAACACTTCGATTGTGTGGATCACAATAAACTGTAGAAAATTCTGAAAGAGATGGGAATACCAGACCACCTGACCTGCCTCTTGAGAAACCTGTATGCAGGTCAGGAAGCAACAGTTAGAACTGGACATGGAACAACAGACTGGTTCCAAATAGGAAAAGGAGTACATCAAGGCTGTATATTGTCACTCTGCTTATTTAACTTATATGCAGAGTACATCATGAGAAACACTGGGCTGGAGGAAGCACAAGCTGGAATCAAGATTGCTGGGAGAAATATCAATAACCTCAGATGTACAGATGACACCACCCTTAAGGCAGAAAGTGAAGAGGAACTAAAGAGCCTCTTGATGAAAGTGAAAGAGGAGAGTGAAAAAGTTGGCTTAAAGCTTAATATTCAGAAAAGTAAGATCATGGCATCTGGTCCCATCACCTCATGGGAAATAGATGGGGAGACAGTGGAAACAGTGTCAGACTTTATTTTTTGGGGGGCTCCAAAATCACTGCAGATGGTGACTGCAGCCATGAAATTAAAAGACACTTACTCCTTGGAAGGAAAGTTATGACCAACCTAGATAGCATATTAAAAGGCAGAAACATTACTTTGCCAACAAAGGTCCGTCTGGTCAAGGCTATGGTTTTTCCAGTAGTCATGTATGGATATGAGAGTTGGATTATAAAGAAAGCTGAGAGCAGAAGTATTGATGCTTTTGAACTGTGGTGTTGGAGAAGACTCTTGAGAGTCTGTTGGACTGCAAGGAGATCCAACCAGTCCATCCTAAAGGAAATCAGTCCTGGGTGTTCACTGGAAGGACTGATATTGAGGCTGAAACTCCAATATTTTGGCCACCTGATGCGAAGAGTTGACTCATTTGAAAAGACTCTGATGTTGGGAAAGATTGAAGGCAAGAGGAGAAGGGGATGATAGAGGATGAGATAGATGGCATCACCGATTCAATGGACATGAGTTTGGGTAAACTCCGGGAGTTGGTGATGGACAAGGAGGCCTGGCATGCTGCGGTTCTTGGGGTTGCAAAGAGTCAGACATGACTGTGACTGAATTGAACCTTTAATCCCTTTTAATTTATGAAAAACAAAAGTCATTTAAAAACTAAAGCCTCTAATGTAATACAACTGTTTGTGGCGTATCATATTTGAAAATCTTTGTTCTATTCTGATCCAAAGAAATCTCTCTCACCAGGTTAAATGTGTAATGACTAACCATTGCAGTAGACCGCTTCAGTTTTCAAATAATTTCTTACCAGGTGTTGGTACTGCTCAGGCCAAGCCTGAGTAGAAGGTACTCATACGATTCCATATGCACTTGAAGGAACTTAGAACACACAGTGAACATGTAAATCCATGGCTGATTCACTCAATGTATAACAAAAACCACTACAAAATTGTAAAGTAATTAGCCTCCAACTAATAAAAATAAATGGAAAAAAAAAAAAGAACACACAGTGATTCCTAAGTAGACATTTTCTTTTCAATACTTCCCAGCTCCCATATAGATTAGAGCATCAAGTTATTAAAAAGAAAGAGGGGGCGTTTGAGACAAACAGGCAGACAAACATGTTTCTAGCAGGAGAATTCAGTTTCTACATTTTCAAGTTTCCTGATACTTTTCAAAAGTTCTTATGTGCAAATACATAGCTACACAGAATGTTGTGAAAAGTAACTCTGAAACTCACTGGCGGTCACCATGCTGGTCCGTTCTCTTGGTTAGGTCCTGTGTCTTAGGAGTCAGTCAATGTAAGGATGACAAAAGTCCTAGTAAAGTGGTGAGGGCAGCTAGTTTACAGCCTAAAGATTTTCTAAAGGGTGGAGAGGAAGCAAACTAGGAAATAGTCTACACTAGTATTCAAACTCTAAAACTAATGCCAAATTTGCCCTAAACAGATTCAGATTTTTCAGTTTTCCCCAGGACCATGCTTGCTGGTAAAATATGTAGGAATAAGTTAGCCCTAGAGACATTCTAGACTTGAGGAAGCCTTAACCTCCTGGCATTTGTGACTGGGGGAAGAGAGGTCTCAGACCTGATCCTTTGTTCCTCTCTTGTCTGGATCACCTTCAATGGCCAGGAGACCCTCTGATGTTTAGTTTCAGTGAAGCTGTGAGTAAAAGGCAGAGCAGTGCTTATCACTAATAGCTAAAGTAGAGGCAGTATGGAATTGCAGATCTAAGAAATGCTTGTACCACTGTGTACTTCATCTATGGCCAGGGCTCAATATGCAGCTTTTTTTTTTCCTTCCCAATTATTTTTATTAGTTGGACGCTAATTACTTTACAGTAT